CAAAAACGAAGACTTACTCTTTAAATTGCAACCAGATGATTAATCATTATAATTTCAATTTTCAAGTAAAGTCTGCTGGAATCTTATCTGTGCAACAAACTTTAAAAATTATAATGGCTTCCTGTACCTCCCTTTCCTCAACTGCTGGACTCTATCGTTTTTACCACTTATACAGCTGGTTTATCTTCCCTTGCATCATTCTACAATTCTCTAACATCCTCAATTTCAAAAAGTAATGGGTTGTCCTTACCACTTAAACAAAGTGTAGGTTTCCTTTTCCAGTGTTTCTTAACCTTTTTAATACCAGGGACTGGATCACTGCATTTCAAAACAGCTGCAGATCACTTAAGGGCAACTCAATTGAGAAAACTTTCTATTTTCAGATCACAGAAAAACTGAAGAATAATGTGATGTATGTAAAATACAGGTACAATGAAAAATAACTACGATTTGCAAACTAATAGTTGTCAATTTTTATTTTTTTTATCATTGAAATCCACTATCCTATTCAACTTTTTACTTTTGTACATTTTATGTAGGTTTGGTGTTACTTCACATTCTTTAATTTCTAACCAGTTCTTGTTCAGATATTCATCTTTACTTATGAAAATGCTTGTCTTCTTTCATTGATTTTTTTAATAATCTTCCTGTAATACCTTTTAAACCTTACCTCACTTGTCAGAATCATTGTCTGAAAGTTATTTTATTAATACTCCAATTTCTAGTCTATTATGTCCTTGACTGTTAGTTTTTCAAGTCACATTGTGCTCTGTATGAGGCTTCTTTGTTCAGCTTCATTTTATTTTTCTGTGCTGCTATCAGGGTCACAGTCTATTCTTGTAATAAGGTCTCTGAAATGTTCTTTAACCAGAATGCAGTCTGATTTCTCACATTTCTTTCACCAACCTAAGGTGACCTCCACGTATACAAATGATAGTTATTAGTAAGCCTTTCTTTTCACAAAACTACTAATGTATCTCCTGTAATTAACAATAACACATCTTAAACAAGTTTGATCTCAATTTTAAAAACAAAGTGATTTTGAAAATGCTCATTCTAATTAACAGTACAATAACATTTGGAGAGTTTATGTAAAAAATAAATTGTTCTTAATTTGTTTTAATACATAATGAAGTTTTTGGATAACCTTAAGTATTCTTAAATTTACAATTGTTTTTTCTTTTTCACAGTTATTACTTAGTGGTATTTAATTTGCCTAGTATAGAAAAATATAATGTTAACAATTCAGGTTGGGGTTTAGATGTTTTTCCTTAATAAAAATACCATGGGAATAAAGCTTTAACTGAAACTGACAATTCTCTGTACAAAAAACAATGTAATATAATAAGTCATTTGGTAAATGAAAACCTTGGCTTTCTATTGGTTATAAATTAAATATAATGGAGAACTATAGGCAATTTCTGAAAGAGAGTATGTGACAAGTGAGCATGGCAAGAGAGATCTGATTTTCTATTTGATTGCTATGAAAATTATGCTTTACCTGAGTAATGACATTATGAGTAACTTGCATTAAATTTCGTACTTCTTGGAGAGGTGGTAAATAAAAGAAGAGGGGGTGCCTAGAGAGAAAATGTCATAATTCTCATACTAGGAAATTTAGGATTTTTTTTTTAAATATTGCATTATAAAATTAAAAGCTAAAAATTTATATACTGTCAAGAAATGGATTAGCAGCTACATTTTTATTGATATGCCCATAAAGAGGGGGTACATGGATGACAAAAGTTTGGGAAATGCTGTCCTGATGCATGGTTTGATGTTGCTATGACAGAAATGGTTTCAATTTCCAGTTATTTTCATCTTCTTAATATGTATTTTTTTCTTCCAACCAATGTGACATTTGAAGAATTTTATAAGCTTTTTATCCTTAATTTAGGTTCAATAATTTGCAAAACAAGCTAATGAAATTGTTTTTATTGCAACTAATCTAACCTATATATATATAATTAGATCATGACATATCCTACAAAACAAATAATTAATTGGTGGTATTACTGAAACTCATGAGTTAAAAAACAAACATAACAATTCCTCAGTGTTTGCCTTCAACGTTGATTGGATCAATTTCAGGATCTAGAAAAAAAACAAGATTAAGAAACAGAAACATTAGCACTGGCTTAAAAACTCAAACTTACACCTACACAAAAGAGAAACCAAGATTCTTGTTTTTATTTCCAACATATTGAAATGCACTGATCTCTAAGCCTGAAAATTCTCATGCTAAAGCCAATTTATAAACAATATCTGTACTGTAAAGATATGTCATATACACATATACTTTAGTTTTACTACTATAAAACACAAGAAATGGGCTATGTTTTAATTCTCTCATCAATTAAAACCACTGAAAGTTTGAGAAGACTGAAAAGTCTCAAGCTCAGTAAAAGCAAATACAATTTTATAAACATGAATGTTTTTTAGTGTTGAACATAATTAGCTCCAAATATTTTATACACACTTACGATCATTGCATTTCAACACTGTCACTATATGTTATAATCCAAGAGAATGTTTTTAAAATAAATGAAAAATAATCAGTTTCATTACTGCTTGAAAACATCAAAGCTACATTAATCACAACCTTAGTTCTATGATGGAAAATCACTTATTTGTTCCTGAAGAAAAAAATGCACTAAATAAATGTGACTTGCAGTTTTTATTATACAATACATGTACTTGTTAGAGTTAGAAATTAAAACTGTGTTTAATAAATCCATGTTGTATCACAGAATACTACACATAACAGTAGAGTTTGGTATAACTTTGCAATTTAAAAATGTGAAGAAAAAACAGTTGCTGACAAAAATAATTTTCTTATGAAAAGAAATACTAATAACTCTGTACTTTCTTTCCAACTTATGTCTTAGTCATCTCTATTAAACAATAGAGAAATATCAACTTTTCATCAAATATGAAATCTGACCACTGCTCTAAAAATACATGTATTTACATAGTGAAACAGTTTTTACATTACTTTTATGTCTTGTAGAAACAGATTTAGTATGAACCAAACCTCACCTTTAAAGCTAAAAGCTGGAAATTTGGTGAGGTCTATCCCTTTCCCTCCTCCATACTGAGTTTCTATTTTTTCCAATTCTTCTTTCATTTGTTTTTGTGCTTCTGGTGAAGCATCAACTAATCCACCTCCCAGACTCCTTCAAGCACAGTATATTTTGTAAGTCAATCTGCTCTAAATTTATTATAGGCAACTGCTCAGGTTACAAAACATCTACAACTCCAAATAGTTTTAATTAATATAATGTATGCACAAAGTGAAACCTCAAATTTAAAATAAAGGATGGGGTGACTGTACACTACCCCAGAAGTGAAACAGTGACAGCAAAAATAAACTTTCCTAGCACTATAGATAGTCCTACATCTGCTAACAAGGTAGCTTTATTTTCTAGCCAATCATAAAAAGCAAAAAAAAGAAAAAGTTACACCTAGACAAGATTATAAAATTTGCATACAAATTTCACCCGATGCACCACTACTATCAGAGTTTTTCACCATATTGTTTGGCTTGCTTTAATATACTTCTCACAATTATTTCTTTCATGAAACCTATTTAAATTTATTCGTAAAGTAATGATGTAAATGAACAGCCTCTCCTGCAAACCAATTATGTCAGTTTCACTCTATAGCAAAGGATATATGCATGATGAGTACACTGGAATGGGAAGCAACTGTCTGTTGTAGGAAAAACACAAGTGTAGAGGATGACAGAAGACTTTTGAAACATTGTTCTCTACCATTTTTGTGTTTTTTTACAACAGGCTGTTACTGCCCATTCCAGTGTACTCATCATGAATACTCTGCCTAAAAAATTTATCAAAGATATATATGCATTTTGCCATATTTCTCCTCTTTGTTGTAAGTTGCAGCAAAACAATTAGTGATAAAAAAGACAAAAACATTGATTCTTTTACATACACATTAATTTTTATAGCAGACAATTTCATTCAATGATCTAAATAAAAATTATTTTAAATCTATTTTTTTATGATAATGAAATATATATAGTGTTTTTTCAAGTTAGAAGAAATATGTTGGTCTTTTCTCAAGTAATAGTCTGTAACCTGTAAAACTTTTCTGAAAAATACTTTTAAATTAAAATAACGAGATTCCCTTCAACTATTCAAGTCCCAAGTATGGTTGGGTTACCTGTAAGTTCAACTTGGTGACAACCATATGTTGGTAATCATGTTAAACTTTAAAGTAATGGTTACATACAACAAGCTTGTCTGAAATTTCAGGTTAAAAAGCTACATGTATGTTGGTTTAAAAACTGTGCAAAATTCAGATAATCATACTTTGTGTATAAAGATATCTCATACCTGGACAGCAGTTAATAGATAATGGTTTAGTACTGTGTAGTAACTTGAGGTACACTGAAATTTTAATTTTAAATGTTTTTGGAAAATTTATCTCAAGAAAAAATACACTATCTAAATGTTAATTTTATTTTGATGCATTTGTACTCATCACTGTACAAAAATTTAAACTTGTATTTTATTCAAATTCTACAGTTTGGCTTACTGCTAATATTTTAAAGAATATTGTTGATTTTCTTTTTCTCTCAAATTTTAAATATTTTTATTGGTTAATTGCTTGCACAAAATTGTTACATAAGTGCTAACTGTCGGTAATTCTTATGATTACAAACTGAAGAGTTAATTCTGTTATCTTCCAACAATTTATATCACTTTGTTTTGTCAAAGGTGCCAAGGAACATTGAGAGCCAGCATGGGCCCCAGGGCAAACATCCTTGCTGGGCCCCATTTCTCTGTTTTTTAACATTTTTAAAAACTTATTTAAAAGAGGATCCTAAATTAGGACACCAATACACTCATAAACAGACAAAATCATAGCAGCAGCCATTTTTAGCTCACAGTATAAGAGTAAATTGTTATAAAGCAACAAAAAAAAAATATATATATATAAATTACACAGGCCTGTGATGGTTTTATTCTCTTGATATTTTTTCCATGTTCTACAGTAATTCCTTTACGATGAATCCAAAAATTATATTCGTTTTTCTCCATCATGAAGAGATTTTTCACAAAACGTCATAACTCAATACATAAAAGAAAGACCACAACATATAGTTATAGGACAAGATGAAGATTTCACAAAAAAATCAGGATGAATGAGGATGCATATTCGTTTGACATCAATGTTCTTCCCTTTTCTTCAGTTTGTTTGTGTTTTTGGTAACAAACAAAATAATAATTTGATCTATGTAAGAGTTTTTTTTTTCCCAGACAGAAAAAATTAATATCACTTTCGAAATCTGCATAGTTGAATTATGGAAAAATCTGTTATTAAAACCAAAACAACTTTTATGAAGTTTAAATTCGCAAGCCTGTGTTATCATTCAAATTATTTCAATCATTCTTAATGTATCAAACATCTATATGCAAGAAAAGCCAAAAAATATGCTTTTCATGATTAAATGAAGATATAGCTTAAAAGCGCTTTGCAGGCTTTATGGCATAACCAGGTTTCATTCGCCTGTACCCATGGGTAGTTACCCCCTTTTCTCCCATCCACCCTTTATCGGCAAGCCTGCAGGTGCCATAAATCTACCTAGCCAGCCAATCAAATGCAACTGTGACTGCCACTAAAGGATGAAAATTCTGTGAACTTAAGATAGAGTTTTAATATTTTTACATGTACAGTAAAATAAAGCTTATTCATTACTAACAATTAATGACCACATGGTGGTGTGAAATTAAGGAAGCCTACAAAACTTCAAAAAATTCACAACAGATACTCAGCAAAGCCTTCAACAAACCTGTGCATAAATTAACTAACAGCAGCTAAATATGATATTTACTAAATGGATTAGAAGGCCAGATAGTGAATATTACCAAAAAGCTGTGTGAATGCATACCATACCACAAGCAGCAGCATATACAGTTTATATTACAGCATGTTACTTACCTTCATTTTCACTTGCTAGACTTTTTTTTTTAAATGAAGCTAATTTTGAATAGTTACTTCAGATGAAATGTATTTACAGTTGTAAAACATTATGTTGTAGCTTTCTATTCCAATGACATGGTACATGCAATGCATATTGAAATAATTACTTCTAACACTACAGTATCTTAATAGAAATTGCATGTGTATGCAACACTTTAATCCATTAGGACCCTAAGTTGAAATACACATTAATATACAGAGAACAAAGAAATATGATACTTTGCTTCCATAACAAACACCCATTTAAAGTTATATCCAGTATGAGGCAGTAATTAATTATTTTTTTCCATGCCTTATTACAAAACAAAAGTACTGCATGCAGTGCTCATAAAAATGGTGCTGTCCATTTTTAATAAAACATTTTCATGTTCTCTTCTTACAAGTTATAGTCAGATTTCAAATGAACGAATTTGATGATTCATCATGCATCACTCAGCAATAAAGTTATACATTTATCACAAAAATTTTAGGATTAACACAGCTGTTGTCAGGAATGCCACTTGCCACTAACTATCTGTTGTAAGGAAACATCAACACACAAAGCTAAATTGCTGAAATCTAGAAAAGGAATTTGTTTATAAAGGTTCATAAAAAACAACAAATGCTAATGAATTCTGAGCATTTCTACATACTTGCTTTTCTGAGTGTACTCCCTCAACTTTTCAATAAAAAGTTTCTGTATCGGGTCTTGTATTTTCTGAACAGCTACAGCACTAACACCAAAGTTTCTCTTCAGAACAGTTCTTGAAAAAATACTCCTCACAGATAGAAGTTGACAAACATGTTTTATGGCAGTCATCTTGCAATCTATGGGGAAAAAAAGTTTTTTGACTACATTACACACAGTTTTAAAACACAGATTGTTTAACTTTAGTAAGCCTTTGCAGAGATAAGTTGCTAGCCAAAAAAAACATTAAATATGTAGACATAACAGTTGCATAATAGATATACCAAAATTATGACCTTTTTTCTTTTTAAGATCATTTAATTCCACAATTTAATCATTAATGTCAAGTGAACATATTACGATGGATTTATGATGGGGGAAAATGATGTCTAATAATGATGATAAAGACTTAAATACTTATTTAAATATAAAGATCAACTACCTAAACTTTTACATTCATGGCTCCTGTACAAGTATACGTGTAGTGACTGTAAGGTCACGCACATTGACAAAACAAAACACCACTTGAAACCTAGTCTGCGAACATTCAGGAGCAAATAAAAGAAACATTGTTCAATACTTAAAGTAGTAGAAGTACTACTACTAGGACTAGGAGAAAAGAGAAAAATCAAACTTAACAGTTGATATTCTCCGCATGTAATTTCTCTGAAAGTCGAATTTTACCTGCTAAATTAATAAAACCGACAAAACGTCTTCATATATTTTTTAAACAGTCCCACACTAATTAAGTACACTAAAAGTAAAAAACTTAACCCTTAAGTAACAACATTAATTGTTAGTGTTACATAAGCCTTATAAGTTATAACTTCTAAAGTTAAGCTGACTGGTTACATATTTTAAACAAGCGAATATCTAAAATACATTTAAAATAAAATATAAACTAGAAAGCGTATTAACATATTTTGTTATTTGAATATTGCGTTTTTGGTACTTCCTATTAAAAAAACGAAATTTAATTATTTTAACTACTCCTCGACTTACGAAGATGCTTCCTAAGCCTCAACCTAAAGGTTATGAACAGCAACTTCTCGTAGAAAACGAACTTTATCGAGACAAATATACACAGTCACTTGGGGGTCCTAGACATTTGCGATCCTTTAAGTGTTAAATTTTTATATATTCATTACTTTACGAAAACAGTATTTCTTAATAATTTGTAATCTAGTCATTTCAGGAGAAAGTAATAAATGTTTCGGTTCAGTTAAATGAATATCATACAAAAAAGAAAGAAAGATAAAAGTACGCCATGTATCGTTTACATAAATATATTTATGTCGGGAGGACGACTTATTCTCTCGTTTCTACGATATATATACTATCCTGGATAGTTATGTCGTTCGAACGAGATAATAATATGTCATAAATATAACATATTAACTTAAAGGCCTCAGTGGCACAGCGGTATGTCTGCGGACTTACAACGCTAGAAACCTGGTTTCGATACCCGTGGTGGCCAGAGCAGAGGTAGCCCTTTGTGTAGCTTTGCGCTTAACTACAAACAAATAACTTAAAATGATGTTTTGGGACTTATTGATCATCTCGGTTGTTCCATCTTCTAAAATAATTTTAAAAAATCTTAAAGCCAGTCCTTATCATTCATATACTTATCAAGCTTTTTCTTAAACTCTCTTAAGTTTAGTGCCTCTACAACATCTGAACGCAACCCATTCCAAAGTCCAACTATCCTATTAGAAAAATGAAACTGTTGTTACGTATCTGCTCGTTTGTTAATTTTCGGTATAAATTCTTTCCTAGGAACTTCAGCGATACA